TGCAGTACTAGGGATTGAGCCCAGGAGCACTCTGCCTCTGAGCTAGATCCTCAGACCTCCTTTCTAAAAAAAGTTTTGTTTTTGAGACAGGGCCTCATTAAGCTGCTATCCACCTGCCTCAACCTGCTGGAGTAGCTGGGACTAAAGGTGCCCATCCATGGGAACCCCCATGTTTTTGTTTTTTGTTTATTTGGCAGTACTGGGGATTGAACCCAGGGGTGCTCTACCACTGAACTACATTCCAGCCCATTTTAATTTTTTATTTTGAGATAAGGTCTTGATAAATTGCTGAGAGTCTTCTAAGTTGCCCTAGACTGGCCTTGAACTTGTGATCCTCTTGCCTCAGACTCCCAAGTTGCTGGGATTAAAGGTATACACCACTGTGCCTGGCAGAGGGTGCAATTTAAATAAAGAAGCTGAGGAAGTCAAGGTAATAATTCTGTTGCTATGTTATAACTGCCTTTAGAACAAACAGTAGTGAGAAAACAAGCTGCATGTCCAGTAGTAATGTAATGCAAGACACAAATGCAATTTAAAATCTTCTAATAGACTAAAACAGTAAAAATAGGTGAAATTAATTTTAAAGATTTATGTTGTATTTTACCTGGTATGTCCAAAATATATCACTTCAATATATAGTCAATATAAAAATAATGACTGCTGGGTGCAGTGGTGCATGTCTGTAATACCAGCAGCTTGGGAGGCTGAGGCCGGGAAGTTCAAAGCCAGCCTCAGCAATTGAGTGAGGCCCTAGGCAACTTAATGAGATGCTGTCTCAAAATGAAAAATAAAAAGGGCTGGGGATATGTCTCAGTGGTAAAACCTCTGGGTTCAATCATTAGTACAAAAAATTTTATGTATATATAAACAAAAATCTGGTCATGATACTTTTTTCATTGTTAAAATATTCCATAGTAATTTCTCCACATCATTGCACCCAGGGTGACGCTGTTCAAGGGAGAGTGCTGAGCAGGAGTGGCGGGAAGTTCTAGGTGTGGGGTCGGTGGCTCCTCCTCTAGTACAGTGAATTTCCCAGAGTTCTCCAAGGCCCTCCTGGGCCATCTCCTGCATCTGGTCATTGGTACCTTGGGACAGCTGAATTTGTGACCCAAGATAAGAACATATTCTAGTAATCTGTGATTCCTGGTAGAGTGGCGATCAGACTCTATAAGGAAGGCCAAATAAGGTCTTTATTTTTTCAAAGACAAAAAAAAAAAAAGTGGAAATTTTATTTAATTGATTTTGAAATAAAATTGTGAAGCAGCAGCTATGCATGAGTTTTGTAAAGTCTCAAAATATCAGCTTCTCTTTTATAAAAATGTGCCATTGTCTTTCAGGCCCAAAGATGACAATGACTGGTAAGACAATGACCCAGGTTGAACACCCCTAATCTGAAAATCTCAAATCTAAAAAGCCTCAAAACTTGAAATTTTTAAATACCAATATGATGCTACAAGTAGAAAATTCAACACCAGGAAGCTTCATTTCTTCTAAAAATTTTTATTTATTTACTTACTTACTTTTGAGATGGGGTCTCCCATGTTGCCCAGGCTGATCTTGAAGTCCTGGGCTCAAGGAATCCTCCTACTTCAGTCTCCTGAGTAGCTGAGACTATAGGTGCCCACCATAGTACCTGGCTCAAACTAATTAAAAATATCAATATATATAAAAGTACTTTTAGGTTATGTGTATAAGGTGAATCACAAATTAATTCTATGTTTAAACTTGGGTCCCACCCTCAAGATGATTCACTATGTAGACACAAATATTCCAAAATCTAAATCAAATGCATTGGTCTTTAGCATTTCAAGTAAGGGGATTCTGAATTGGTATAACCATTAATTTTTTTGGGGGGGTACTAGGGATTGAATTCAGGGGCATTATACTACTGAGTTATATTTCCAGTCCTTTTTAAATTTTATTTTAAAAGACAAGCTCTTCCTAAATTGCTGAGGATCTTGCTAAGTTGCTGAGGCTGTCCTTGAACTTGCAATCCTCCTTCCTCAGCCCTTCTTCCTCCAGTCACCACTGACTTTTCTTGATTTTTCATTTTTGAAACTTGGTTCAATTACTGAAAACCAGGGGTGCTCTACCACTGAGAAACACCCCAGTCCTTCTTTCTTTCTTTCTTTTTTAAATGTTTTTTAGTTGTAGATGGATACAATACCTTTATTTATTTCCATGTGGTGCTGAGGATCAAACCAGTGCCTCACACGTGTTAGGCAAGCCCTCTACCACTGAGCTACACTTCAGCCCCACCATTCACATTCTTGCTATTATATATGTGTATGTACAAATTCACATACGTGCACACTTGCATGTTTTGGAAATTTTTGAGAATAGGCTGCAGACATGATGACTCTTCACTTCTAAATACTTTAAATACTTTAATGTGTATGTCTTAAGAACAAGGGCGGGCTGGGCGTGTAGCTGAATGACAGAAAACTCTCAAATGTGAGACTCTGGGTTTGATTCCCAGCACTGCAAACAAAACAAAACAAAAGGCATTCTCGTCTGCAATTAGAATACAGTTGTCAAAATCAGGAATTCTACCGGTGTGGTAATGCACACTTTCCAGGAGGCTGAGACAGGAGAACCACGTGTTTGAGGCCAGCCAGGGAAACTTTGTGAGACCCCATCTCAAAATAAAAAGGACTGGCAATGTAGCTTAGTGGCACAGCACCTCTGTGTTTAACCCACAGTACTGGGGGAAAAATCAGGAAATTTTACAACTCAGTTCAAATCTATTATTAACCCACAATCCATATTCTAAATTACTCCAACTTTATAGCAATTGCTTTATAGCAATTTTCTTGGACTAGGAGATTCTTTTTTAATAGACCAGGGCAAGGAGTTGAAAAATGTTAACAGTGGGCCTTGGCAGAGTGAAAGAATAGAGCAGTAGACAGTCCCAGAGCATCAGCAGAGTCCCCTCCTTTACACAGAAGCACATGCTGAGCCCCAGACTTGGATGAGGAATTTTATTTGGGAGGTGATCCAGGAAGCATGAGTGGGGAGAGTGAGGCAGGGCTGGGGGGAAGGCCAAGAATACTGTTCATGGAGTGGTGACCACTGTGGGCAATAGGGGCTCAATCCCATAGGGACCTCTGAGGAAGCTTGAACATGTATTATGATCGGCTCGATGGACAAGAGGCAGGTCTGGGCACTCATCCAGTGACTGCTGTTCCCCACGGCTAAGGGTTGCCCCCAGGGGCACTAAAGCACCTTCTTTGACTCCCAGAAACCCTTCAGCAAAGAAGCAGAGAGGTAGGGCTATGGGCAGGAAGCTGGCAGCCTGCTGGGAACCTGCTTCTGCAGCTGCAATTGAACTCAAGCTGGAGGGTTCAGTGGCGGGCAGAGGAAGTACCATCGCTGGCTGCTCACTAGTTCATAACAGTCATGTGATGGGGCCTACTACTATGCTCATTTCATCAATAAGGGCACAAAGGTGCAAAGAGGTTGTTAAACCACTTGCCCATGACCGTGTAATCAGCAAGTGCTAGAGCTATGATCAACTGGCATTCGAGTTCTGTAGTCCTGCTCTTAACCTTCCCTTACCTGCACACCTCCTCTGTCAAAGGAGCATTCCCTCCACATCCTTCCTACTTTCAAACTCCATTCCTCCACAACACCCAGGTGAATGTCTCCTCCTCTGCTGACCAAGGTTGCTCAGCTCAGTGGGAACCCTGCTGGCAGCTCCATCCTGGAGCTTATTAGGGCTCAAGATCATGTAGCCAGGTGGGAGGTAAGGCTGGAAGACATAACAGGGGCTGGATGGGTAGGATCCTATTAGTTTCTTTTTGCGGGGGGGGGGGGGCGGTGCGCCAGGGATTGAACCCAGGGGCACTTGACCACTGAGTCACATCCCCAGCCCTATTTTGTATTTTGTTTATAGACAGAGTCTCACTGAGTTGTTTAATGCCTCGCTGTTGCTGAGGCTGGCTTTCAACTTGTGATCCTCCTGTCTCAGCCTCCTGAACTACTGGGATTATAGGTATGCGCCACTGACCTGGCACCCCATTAGTTACAAGTCTTTATTTTAATTCTGAAATGGAGCCTGGACAGAGTCACCTTGATGGAAAAAAACTGAGGCTGAGAGATGAATAGATGACTAAGGTCCCATGGTGAAGACTATTCAGAGACAGAAGTAGAGGAGATGACACAGAGCAGTGCCACAGCTTTGTTGTCTGAGGCACTCTAGGTCCTCACTAGGACCCTGTATTTCTCCCCCTTGCCCCTATCAGGCCTTTATCCTCAGTGATCCTCCTCTTAGAAGTCTATAGCTACTTTCTGAAAAACTCCTAATTCTTCAAATTTCAAGCCATCTTTATAAATGTTTGGGTGCCTGGCTTCTCCATTGGGATTAGGGCAGTGACTGTCTTTTCTGCCTGGCCTCTCTTCAGTCAAGGTCTGGGTTCCTCTCTAAGATCCTCCTTTCCTCAATTGCATCTGCAAGAATTCATCCCTCTTCCACTTTCTTAACTGACTTGGATGCAAATACAGCTCAGGGTTGCAAAATATAGTACTCTAGGTAATGTTCAGGGAAGGTTCGTACGGGAACAGGAGAAGGGGTATGCCTGTGTTTTGTGGGTCCATCTCCCTGCCCCCTGTCCCAGGGCCTTGCTAACAAAAATCCCAGCTTCTAGCTGAGGTTGGACTCCTCAATCAGGTTTGAAGATGTGTAAGTTTCTAGATTTTGTGAAACACTGAAAAGAATATGAGATCCCCACTACTGCCTCAGCTCCACCTTTTCCTCTCCTGATTTATTACTTGATTTAAAAGGAGTCAACTGGAGTCTTTTTGAAGTGAAGCTAGGATGGGTCTCCTCCTTGGATTTACCCAAGAGAGAGAACAATGCCACTTCAACCAATTTGCCAGGCTAGAGGGCTTCAGAAGGGAAGAGACAGCTCCCTACATCCATTCTCTCCGAGAGAGCCAAATCCAGGTGTGGATGTGTGTGTCTTCAAAAATTCCCCATAAAATCCTTAAGAACAGGGAACTAAGCACATCCCCAATTTTATTCCTTTTGTGCAACAGTCCTGAGAGAGAAGGGGCACAAGAGTTAGAGTTGCCCCTTTAACAATCAAATAGGGATTCTTAAGCTGATCAGCTGGGGGTGAGACCCCACCCCTTCCTTGTGGTTCCAGTTTGACACAGTGTATGGGGGTGAGGTCAGTAAGCTTTTCAAAGGGAATTCTAGTCTTCTCACGGTTCATCAGAGTATCTTTCCAAAGTGCTTCTCAGCAAAAAGTCTGCTTTTCTCAGAGTTAAATACAGGAAAGGGCAGTCCCGTTGAGAGCCAGGGGTAGATGTGTTCTCAGAGGTGAAGGAAGAGAAGGGTCTCAGGCTCTTTGTCCATGACAGAGGGAGGGGGCGTCTGGGCTCCCCATGACTCTGGGTAAGTAGATCTCCGCAGAGCACTATTCAGCCTCCCAGGCCACCCCAAGGGGATGGGGGGACTGACCTGTCAACATGTATCGGGCAAGGTAGGACATTTCTCACCGTCCACCACAGGGCTCTCTACGCCCATGTCGCCAGGAGGGCTGTTTCCCAAATCTGGAGCTAGTTTCTCAAGACCTCTCATCTTCCATCAGATGGGTTCTCGAGCCCCTTCAAGGAGCCAGGCGGGCCCCTCTGCACCACTGAGAGAGCTCTTCTGCCTGTCATCGTCCATCGGGTCGGATCTCCGGTGCCCCGGTGTCGTCGAGAGGGCTCTTTGGACCATCATCATCGTCAGGCGGGGTCCCCAGGGCCGCCGCGCCGCCAGGCTTCTCCGTCGGGCCCCGCGGGCGCACAAAAGCACCCAAGGCCTTGGCGTGGTCGGAGCGCAGCAGCTGCAGCTGGCGCCGTCCGCGGCGGTACAGGTACTCGATGCGCAGCACGTCGGTGCGCGGTAGGCTGGCGTTCTGCCGGAACTCGGCCCGCACCCGCGCCTCGGCACCCGGCTTCCCGCGCCCAGCGCGCAGAAGCTCTCGGTAGAGGCTCAGAACTTGCCTCTGCAGCCGGCTGGGCCGGCTCATGATAGCAGCAGGGAGGCAGCAGCAGCAAAGGCCGGGTGGACAGCAGCCAAACAGCTGCCCAAGCCAAAGGGCAAGGAAACAGTCACTTCCGCAGCGCGCCCTTCAAAAACTCCGCCCCCCGCCTCCAGCTATCCGGCACCTCCACTCCCGATTGGCTGTCGTGGCAGTTACGTCACGGCGCCCCGGGGAAGGGGGCGGAGTCTTTGTAGCCCTGGCCCGCCCTAAGGGGAATTAGTGTCCTCTAGTGGACAGCCGTTCTATCGATCCAAGCACCTGGGACCTGGGGGAAGAGAGCTAGGTTCTCGGATTTTTAGGCTTTGGGTCAGAGAGTACCGGAGGTTCTGACCTAACCCCTTGGTCTTGGAAGAGAGGGAGCTAGGGACGTGGACCCTTCTGACCCCAAGGGCGTGGGAACACTGGGAGAGAAAAGACAAACATTTTATTTTGCTTTGTCTTTTAAGGAGACGGGTTTCGCTATGTTACCCAGGTTGGCCTAGAATTTCTGGAGTCAAGTGATCCTCCGGGGCAGCTGGGACTACAGGCGCGATCCACCTGGCTCCAAGCACTTTGTCATTAGTTATTAAAAGCTGCGTGCGTTCGCTTCCTCAGGCCAGGTCTGCTTTAGGGGTCCCAGCCTTGGAGACTTCTAGAGGGAAGGGATTAAGGAGTAAAATGCTGGGTCCGGGACAAGATTCTCTGTTTTGGAAGACAAGCAGAGAGAGGGAGAGAGCGCCAAGCTCAAAGAGTTGGACTGGTCGCGCCCTCTGCGGGTGAGAGTCGGGTCCTGGGGCAGCAGCGGGAGAGTCCTTCCCCGCAGTTAAAGCTCTAAGTCCCATATGCTGAACAGCTTGGCTGGGTTGACACAGTTTGAACCTCCTGGTCTGCTGCTGCAATTTCCTTGTAGTCCTAGCAGGCTGCTGAGAGGCTCGCAGGGAAACCCCCCCTCGGGTCCCATTAGTACCAGGAGCAAAGGGAACCAACCACTGGATAACCCCTGAGCCTCTGCCAGGCATGCAACCAAGTCTCTGCACATGAGTGGGCAGCCCCCGCTGGGCACTGGTTCTGCAGAAAGGATGGGTGGGTCAGGGTCAGAAGATGAAATGGAGTCCAGGAGTCTAGAGGGGCTCAGAAACCACCGTGAATCCTGCCGGGTGTATCTGTATCAGCAAAGAGGAATAAGGTCTAAATCAAGAATGGTAGGATATTTGGAGCTGATGGGTTCGTAGGGTTTCATAATACTATTCTATTTGTGATACTTGAAATATTTTCTTTCTTTTTTTTTTTTGAGTTGGGTAAAACAGTCAGAAACTATATTCTGTGAGTACAAAGAACAGAGAGGGGAAAACTCATGCTCTAAAGACACTTGCTTCCCAATGTGGGTCAAGAGGGGCTCCTCTTGGGCTGGGGCTGTCGCTCCGTGGCAGAGCGCTTACCTCACATGTATGAGGCACTGGGTACAATCCTCAGCACTACATAAAAATAAATAAATAAAGATATTGTGTCCATCTACAATTAAAAAATATTTTTAAAAAGATGGGCTCCTCTTATGAGTGAAAGGGCCGATGGCAGGGGTCAGATCAAGGTGGGAAAAGGAGAATCATGAGCAGATTATCTTTTTGTGCTCTGCACCCAGCTAGTTTTGTGCTCGCCACACCACTGCATTTAGATTTTTCTGGTTTGGATTGATTTTGCAGGTCTTCTGTCATGGTTCCTGTTGAGTAAGCATGCCGTTAGGCATGGTTGAAGCCAAGGAGGCGACTTACCACTTTTTTACCCAAAAGGGGACTTAGAATGACCCTTTGGTTCCACTCTCATTTCTCCAGCTTTATTTGATACTTTTTCTTTTAAGCACTTTCCTAAAAGAGAGATTTCAAGGGAGAAAATAAAGCCTTGGGGACCAATTGCATCTCTCTCACCAATGTCTTCATAATCGGTTTACTGCGTGCTCTGTGACAGGTACAATTCCACATGACTTTGATGTTTTATCATTTACCTTATGGGAATATGTGACACAGTATATTCATATAATAAAATGTGCAATATAATGTTTGCAATTGGTATTTTTACATTGCTACTTAATTTATATTATTTTATGTAATATTTTTATTTTGAAGTAGTAATTATTTCAAGGCCCTTTGTCACTGTGCCTTTCATTGGTGTTTTTAAAGCTCTAAGAACTCTCAAGATTCTGATATGTAGTGAATATTGTCAACTCTGGCAATGGAATGGACACAATGGCAGATGTATCTGCTTTTCTGTGTTGTTTTTCTTTCTGTGGCCATCTCTTCATTCCCAGGGTCACTCAGGGGTTTAAACATCCATGCTTTTAGCTGGGTGCAGGCCTGTAATTCCAGCTACTTAGGAGACTTTGAGTCAGAAGGCTTATAAGTTAGAGGCCAGCTTTAGCAATTTAGCAAGACCCTCACTCAATATTTAAAAAGAAATAAAAAGGGCTGGGGGTGTAGGTCAGTGTAGAGGGTCCCTGGATTTAATCCCTAGTGCCTAAGAAAAATTCATGTTTTTCTATCAAGTGGTCCTTCATTTCCTAGACAACTATGTCAATCAGGCTTAGGGTCTTTCTTTGCTTTCCAATAGACTCAAGGGGCTGCAAAATCTCAGACGACATACTATCCCTCCACCCCCAGCCCAGTGTCTATCTGTGGTTTTCTGATAATGGTCTCTCAGTGTGCCTTTGGGGATCTAGCTCCATTCGATATACCCAGACCTGGCCAAACAGAGATAAACAGAGCACTCCATCCCCCGTTCCTTTGATCAATACAGGAATGAGCAAAGGGGCACTGGGACGATGATTGTCAATAACTATCAGCCCTGGGATATCTGCTAAAATTGTTGATAAATAAGTGCTGCCTCCCTACTGGGATTGCTAACCTATATTAAGTAAGTCTGGACCAGTTGGAGGCCATCTTTGCTCCACAGACAAACAGGTGGTTTGAAAGTGAATTTATAGCTGGCTTCAAATATCCATCCTCCATTCCTTTCCTAGATTTTTTTTTTTTTCCAGCATCGATGGTTGAACCCAGGGCCGCTCCACCATTCAGTTACATCTCTAGCCTGCTTGCCTCAGCCTCCTGAATAGCTGGGATTACAAGCATGTGAGCCACCATGCCTGGCTTTTTAGAATTAGAATTTTTAGCTACACACGTGGCCACCCAGCTAAAAATACATTTTCCAGCCTTCTTTGCAGCCAGATGGTGTCTTTCCTGGAAGTGTTGGCCTATGGGAAGTACATGGAAGAGATGTGTGTCACTTCTAGTTGTACCCTTAAAGGAAGGTGGCCTGACTTCATGACCTCCTTGTCCTGCCCTTTTCTCTGCCAATTTGCCTGAATATAGACGTGGGGGGGGGCAGCAAATGAGGGCAGAGCCACCTGATAGGAGTCTGTTTTGGAAGAACCAAACTGGCTATACTTGGACTGTTAATGAGACAGAAATAGACTCCATCAAGTTTAAACCATGTAAATTTTGAGCCTTTTTGTAGCATTTGGACCAAGAGCTTACCGAATATAGAAGCTAACTCAGAAAAAGGAAAAACAGGGATGAATAAGTCCTAAATACATCATTTGAGTTCCTGAATCCAGCCATGCCTAAAGGCTTCACAGATAAGTAAAAGTAGATAAATTCCATTTTAATAGTTAGCTTCATTTTCTTTCATTTATGACTGAAAAAAAATACTGTGGTTCAGGGAACATCTTGTGATGAGGTATGAAAAACTCCGCCCCAGCATTAGAAGAGGTTCCCTCTCACAGGGGTGTAACATCTATAGTGGAAGCAGCCACCTGGCCATACATACCAAATTTCAAAACTTAGTAAGAAAAGAGAATTGTAAAACATCTCATTGTTTTTATATTGACAATGTATTGAAATGATAACATTTTGGACATAGAAGGTAAAATAGAACATAAATTATTAAAATTAATTTCACATATTCTTACTGTTTTAGTGATTACTAAAAGATTTAAAATTGCATTTGTGTCTATTGGACGGGGCTGCACTAGAAGTCCATGTGGCTTATTTTCTCACTACAGTTTGTTCTAAAGGCACAATTATAACATAGCAACAAAATTATTTCCTTGACTTCCTCAGCTTCTTTGTTTAAATTGTACCCCTGCCAAGCTCAGTGGCATATACCTGTAATCCCAGCAATTTGGGAGACTGAGACAGGAGGATTACAAGTTCAAGGCCAGCCTGGGCAACTTAGTGAGATTCTCAGAAACCTAATGAGATTGTCTAAAAATAAAAAATGAAATGTGCAGGAGATGTAACCGAGTGGTAGAGTGCCCCTGGTTTAATCCCCAGTACTGAGTGCCTGGGTGACTGAGCATGGTGAAAAAACTTTCTATACCCCTCTGTGCAAGCAGGGTTTCCACTGGTCTATTCTCAAGGGAATTTTTACTTTTATAGCCTTTATTTTTATAGCCATTTTATAGCAAGATGTGTGTGGTCTTGCCAATTCCTGAGATGCCCTCAAATCATCTTTCTAAACTGTCTCTGGGTAAAGCATGTAGTCTCATTTTAGTGAGTTAGAAAACTGTAAAGTTTTTAACAGCCTCAACTTCCTTTGTCCCAGTTTTCATCAAACTTTTGTGGCTGAACTCCAAGGTTTTCAAATCTTTTCGCTCTGTTTTCTGCTCCTGATTATCACAGGAAATGTGACTAAAAGCTGCCATCAATATCCATGCCACTGTCTGAATGCTGCGCTGCCCTGAAATTTCTTCTGCCAGATTAATTAGCACATCACCTTTAATTTAGTCTCACACAAAGTCTCCGGAAATGGGCAAAATGTAAGAACTTCTTATCCATAACACCACACGAATGGCCTCTAGTTCATTTTCCAATAGAGTCCTCCTTCTCTGAAACCTCATGAGCCCGTTCTTTACTGTCCACAGTCTTATCAGCATTCTAGTCTTTTAAACTCCCACCAGAATCTCCCATTAAGCTCTGCTTACAACATTCTAAAGTTTTTCCAGTTTGCATCTCTAAATGTTTCAAAATTCCTCCCACAAATTCCAAAAAGCTCCAAAAGCTTCTGGACCACCTGGTCAGGTTAGTCACAGCAATGGTCCCACTCTAAGTAC